GTCCCTGCCTTCCAATGCCTTCTCAGCTTTGCCGGCTCCGCAAGCACCCCACCTGCCTGTTCCACCTCAGCCAAAAGATGCTCAGCTTCACTCCTTCTTGCCGCTTTCGGGTTCAGAGTGGACGAGGGACGACGGCAAAGCTTCCTCATCCTCATTCTCCGGTGCTGGTGCGCATCGCAAACAAAAGTTTCAGCGCAGCCGTACTGGCTGCCTGGTCTGTCGCAGGCGCAAAGTCAAGTGCTCCCAGGATGGCTTGCCCTGCAAACAATGCCGCATCGGCAATCGCAATTGCCACTACGACGAGTCTCAGCCCAAACAGCCCTCCAAAAGAAGAGGTAGCGTCGGTAGCAGCTCCTACCCCGGCAACAAACACGAGCGCCAGCGCGACGCGGACAGGCGCCGCTCTCTGCAAAGTGATGTTGCTGCTCCTCCTCCTCCCCCTCCTCCTCAAGCGGCTCTAGATCACACTTTGCAAGATCCAAGCACATTTAGAGGACTCAGCATCCCTCCTTTTGTCCAGCCGACCTTGGCACAATATCCAATGAGTCAAAATGCAGCTTCATCTGTCGGCTCCTTTCACGATCCACGTCCCGCTGGCGGCATTCCTTCGAATCCGTTCAACTCCTCCGGCTTCGTCACAAACACTTACGATCCTGCGGCGGGGATGCGGTACAGTGGCTTTGCAGATCTTTCGCATCAACCCTCTACTGCCTCTTCTATTGCAGAGTGGCAGCAAAACGTGCCATGGCCATCTGCTCCGACTTACCCGCCTCTTCCGAGTCTCCATGGTCAGGAAGATGCCTCTCCTGCGCTGAATCCAAGGATCAACTGGCCCCGCTAAGTGGCGTAGAAGAGGTCGCCCCCAGCGCTTGAGGGCGAATGCGCTCTGGTCGCCAATGCGCCGCCATCAAAGGGTGATGTGAACGCGTCAACTACATCCCTCGTATTCTCAAGTTTCCATCCTCGTTCACCTCGCCATCTCACCTCAGAATTTGTCTGTCTTCCTCTTTCGTTGCAACGCAATCCTCGACACGTCCGTTTCCTTGGACGATCCTCCCTCGCATCGCATCGCATCGCATCGCATCGCATCGCATCGCATCGCATCGTCTGGCTTTGAAACACCTCCATTCCTCCTCCTTTTCTTTCCTCCTAGACCGCTCCAAGCGTCCTCGCCTGTACTATCTGTATGCTTTGCAACACCTAAAAATCTGATCACGCATCGCCACGACTAGCTGCAATCACCACATTATCCTGCGATCGACCACCAGAGCTTTCCTTCTTCTCTTGTGTCGTGGCTACGTTATGCGATAGAGACTCGGTCGATCAGTCGCAGGAGAACACATGTCACATTAGGTGTACAAAGGAGGTTGCTGTGCCTCTCGGTGCGTATCAGGGAAAGGCTTGGTCAGTCATGATGCTCAAGACTGCTTTGGTGGTGCCTTGTCTTTTTTTGCACCATCCTCTTGCATGGGAGCACCATTGCCCGACACACTTCCTTCTCCTTCATTTGTTGTTGCTGAAGTACCGCTGCTTGGCCCTTCCTGTGGCACAGCGCGAGCTTGCGTCGCCCCATGTCTCGTTGATGACGGATGTTTGGCGGCGTACGCTAGCCAATGTGCGTGTCTTCGTCTGAAGACGTAGGCGTAGCTACCTGTAGTGTCCGCTTTGTCTAGCGCGACGGGTAAGGAGCTTACCAGCGGTAAGGTGCAGTCATGCCACCTGTCATGTCCGGCGGTTGACCAGCCACGGTTGCGTACGTCTGTCACGCTTGGATTCGCCAGTTGCAAGCAGTACCTTGCTAGGCTCGCAAGCTCGTCGTCTAGAGGGGCATCGGAGTAATACGGTCGGATGACGATTCCGTTGAGAGGATTCATGATGAAATTTCGGCCGAGATCGTCGACCTGGACGTTAGAATGCGGAGAGCTCAAGAGTCAGGTCTTCAGTGATGCGTGAAAGCGCAGCCGCATCACGTACGTGAACAGTATTGTGTGCGCCATATACTTCGGGAAACCTATTCCATATGACGTCAAGCGGTTTGACCTCCTTCTTTGTAGCTTCGCGCACGTGAACCGCTGGCATAGAAGATCTGTCCAAGATGAATGTGATTTGATACCGCGAGTCTTCAAAGCACCCAAGCTCTGTAAGCTTCATCTCTAGAAAGCGCCAACTGGTTTGAGACCAGACAGCAATGTCGTAGTATGGGTAGACTGCTGCCAGGAACTGAACAAGGCGATTGAGGTCAGCCACAGGAGGGCAGAAGAGCGACCAGAGAATGCCCCACCTCGTGAAGGCCGGGACGGGCCGCCAAAGCTACGGGACACTGTGGGTCCATTAACTTGTGGGTATCTGCTATCGTCCAGTCGAGGTCCTGTGCGGAGTGCTGTACAGCATGAGGGTCGAGGTGGCTTGCACAGTGCCGGGCCAATGCTCTCACCAAGACAAGAAGTCCGCCAGATAATCCTGTACGAGGTGGATGTATAGGGGCAAATTCGCGAAACCTTTCCACCGTCTTGCGAACCTTCGATAGATTCTGCAAGGATGTGGTGCGTCGAGCTTATGAGCCCGGCACCGCTGTTCTACACTGCCTTGCGGCTTCTGGAGACTAACCGAGGGATCGGACATGCTGTTTTAGATGTGCAAACTTGGACAATGTCAGACTTGACGCGGGAGAGGCAATGCTGCATCCGGCCATGATACCCACGCAACGTAGTCGGGCTTTCCGCGGTCGGCCTTTCGCTCGTCCTCCGTTTTGCTGCGCTTCTTCTTTCTTCCATCTCCGTTCTGTCCTCCATGCTAAGTCGTAACGGCATGACTCGTCAGATCTGTGGACTTCACACTTAGTTGTCAACACATTCGTCATGGAGCTCACCGCATCCAGTAGAACTGCTCTGTCTTGAAAGGTGTCCTGAACTGGAGTGCCTACCAGCATGATGCTGATCGTCTTTCCGCTTGTATGCGTACCAGATGACGCAGGAGAGCTAGTGCCATCCACATTGACAGGATGCTTTGCCTTTAGACTTCCGGGTGGGATAGCAAGACTTGACAAGGGCGCCTCGTCGATTGGTAGCTTGCCACGTGTGAGGCCCAGAAGTTTTTGCCTCTCGGGAGGGACATCTGTGAGACTGAAGATTATCTGGGAGAATCCATGGATCGAAGAGAAGGACACATTAGTAATTGTTCCGCAGACTCGCGCTACAAGGGATGGACTGACCATCTTGAGCTCCAGTACTGAGTCGTCCTCGGCCAGTCGAACATTGTGGAAGGTCTTGCCATGTCGTACGCTGAAGGACATCCACTTTTGCTCGTCCACAGTATCAGCTTCAGACATTGCGACATCCGAGCCGCTAGCCGCTTGCGAAGCCATACTGGTGCCGAGCTTTGCGCCGACGTCCGGACAGGGCAAACGTTGCCAGACAGGACTTCCGTGTGGAGACGGACCTTGGTAGCCTCTCGGCTCTCGAATGCACCTTGTTCCTCTTGACTCTGAGGCCGCTATGTATGCCCCCTTGGACTCGCAGAAACCGTGATCGATCGAAAGCGTCCTCGCTCAGGTCAGCTATGCTCATTCACGATTGATGGTGGTTGCTGTGAGATTTCAGCCCAGTGCATGGCGGTGAGTGCCGATTAGCTCGAGACAGCCAAGGAAAGTCGCACGCACAAATCTAACGGTGCGCGCGTGCAAGCCGCTTCGGTCCGTGCGGCGCCATGCACAAGCCGCGTCACCCACAGCAACCTCATCGTGCTACAGGAAGTAGGAAGTGTAGGTACAGGAAGCGGCACGCTGCAGCCCAGCAGCGACCCCCTTCTCTCCACCTCCGTGACCATCACATTGCGAGTCAGCTTGCACGAGGCTCGTAAACGAGTTGGATTAATGCCTCAGGCACAGTCTGTGCACGACTAGCAATCGTAAAGATCGCACACATCGGCTCGCGTGAAGCGACGCGCTGCTGGGCCTGTGAGCGCGCCTGAAGTCCGAAAGCCTTCAATTCGACTCGATGTCTACAGTACAACATGCACGATCCCATAGGATTTGGGCGTTTCATCGTTCAGCGGGAAGTGAGCCTCGATATGTGCGTTCAGCTGTGATCGCGCAGCGAACTGTTTCGGCCGCAGCCCGAGAGCGCGTTCGAGGTTAGGTGAGATTAGACCACACGCCGTTCGTAGGGGAGACCTGTCACGGACACATCCGTGCATCGCCCGGGCGAAGACGTTTTCAGGCGAAGCAAGTCCATCTGTCCTCGTGTGAAGAGTTCAAAGAGGTGGTCATCTGCCTTGCGAATGCAGCTACGAGGTGGGATTCGCAAAAAGTAGAGTCGCGTCAGTTCCAGTCAGTCTCAGTCGGACAATGCAAACCTCGTGGTGCACTCACCGCGAAGCTCTCCACCTGCTCAGGATCATCGTCATCCAACAAAGATGCCACTGGGATGTTTGGAGGCTGTTTACCAGCTGCGATGGCAGCCGACGTCGAGCGATCTGCCCCTCTCGCAGGCTCTCCAGCGATTTCAAGCAGCTCTTTGTCAGTCTCGCCAAACTCGATCAGCATGCCCTCCACGTTGGTAGGCAGCTTCTTTCTTCTAGGCGCCATGCTGCGGTTCTCCAACTTTCTCAGTGCCGAATGCGCCATGACGCGCAGGTTGGCGTCTGTCCCCGATTGCATGCTTGTCAATCTGGACAGACAAAGCGTTCTGAATGCGTCCGGAGAGCTCGCGCTTGTGCTGGATGCGGCTGGTCGGTCCTCGCCATCCACCAAACCAGCTTCTATAGCGCATACAAGCGCTTCGTACAGCAGACTCATGGCTTTGGTTGTCCTGATGAAGCTCTCTAGCCGAGATGCGAGCAATGCAGCAAGCTCGTCCGAGTTGCTCTCTGCGGCAAGAGTGCCCAAAAGCTTGAGCAGCTTGATCAGCGTCCAATTGTTCGTATGCGTCTCGAGCAGTGAGCATAGGTCTGGCGCGTATTCCAAAAAGGCTTCTGGTCGAGCGTGAGAAAGCTCAGTGATGACGTTGACTGCTGCTCCAACCACGCCAGAATCAGCATCATGCAGTGCCTTTTGCAAAGCGGGCAACGAGGTGACGAGAGTGGAAGAGGTCTCGTCGTGCGCGATGAGAGCGTGCAGAGACAGCAGAGCGCGCTTTCGCAATGCTGGTAGAGGTGAATCTTGCAGGATAGAGAGGACGTCGGTCAAGAGGTGAGGCACGAGCTCTGCTGATGCGAGGTGCGACAATCCATTGAGAGCTATAGAGACCTCTATTGGGTTGTTGGAGTGCAAATCCTGCGCCAGAGGAGAGGCGACATGAGCAACAGAATGCCGTATTGCAGGCGGGAAGCTACAGCCTTTCAGCCTGCCGCACCTTTTGCATCAAATTTGTGACCAGCACCCGGACGTCGGTCTCGGGCGTGAAGCTCATGCTTGCACCGAGGTAGCCGATCTGCTTCTCGTGAAGCTTCTGCGAGCTCATGACCTCGAGCATGTTGAAGCTGTTCGGTGCACTAGACGTGTGTCCGAGCATTTGCAGCTGCAGCACACGACGGCATGTCTCAGCGTTTGATGTCGAAAGCCATCAAGAACTGCGCTCCAACTACTCACGTAGCACAATTTGAGCACCGCCTCTGCCTTGACCGCTCGATCTTCGCTGCGCATCTCCACCCTGATCTCATCCAGCTGCTGAGACACGTATCGCGCTTCATTCCTCTGTTGCTGCCGCGTCGCCCCAGACAGAGGCACCGCATTTGCGCGCAGCCCTTTGATGAGCGAAGAGAGGGATCGCTCGAACATCGTTTTAGGGAAGAGGCGGCGAGGATGGAAGAGCAGAGGCCCCGGTGCTAACGTCTGGCGACTGGCGCTGACGAGAAGATCTGGATGCGCGCAGCTTTGGGGGATGTGACAGCTGCGGCAAGTGTGTTGTGGAAGTGGTAGATGAGACGTCTGCGACGTCGGTCATCACAGTGTTCCGCAATGACGCTCGTCTCGCAGAGTACGGTGAGAAAGGAGGAAGAGTTGCGCTCACAAATCACGCACGAGTCGGGATCAGCGAAGAAGCTCTATGCTGCTGCTGCATGACCGTGTGGTGGTGTGCCTATATCAAGACAAGTCACGCGCCGCGAGACATCATCGATGCGTGCGATTCGGAAGGCCGCGGAGTTTGGGTGTGCCCTCGCTCACAACACAAATGACATCTCCGGTTCGGTAAGCTTTGTAGCTTTTGCCGGACCTCGCGTTGGACATCCACACATTCGCGATCGCAACTTGTCCACCTCCCTTCATCATCTGAATGCGATCTCAAGCATACATAGCTGCATGAAAATGTCTACAGTCGGCAATGTACCTCAAGAGCTGCTGGATCGCATCGTGCAAGGCCTCAAGTCGTTGGGAGACAAGACGGTGGCTGTGGGAGAATCGTCATCTGGAGGTCTGATCAGCGCTGCGCTGTTGGGTGTGGATGGGGCCGGTGCGTGGTACAAGGGTGGAGGCGTGCTGTATACCAAGGGTGCGTCATCTCTCGCATTATTTTGGTAGCGCCTTGGCTGACGGCGACTGTGCCACGACTTGCTCAGAAAGCCGAGTGAGCTGGGCTGGATGGACAGAGGCGGATCTCAGGAATTATAGGCGAGTCACCACCACCGCAGGGTCGCTGCTTGACTTTTGCCATGAACGCTGCTCAGTCGGTCTTGACTGGCTGCTTGCTCCCTTTAGAGGTCCCACCGATGCTGTAGTATCTGGATTAGCTGAGAGTGTGGCCAAGCAGCTGGGTGCGGATTACGCTGTGGGTGAGAGTGGCATAGCGGGACCGCACGGTATCGGTCGGAGATTGCCAGCGTGAGTCCAGACCATCTCGGTCGGCCTGCAAGATTGCGCGCAGCCCATTTGAACACCTTGCGTACATGCGCTCTCCCTTTCAGCGGCTTCACCTGCGTCGCAGTCTCTCGTCCGCAAGGCCGAGCCTTTACACGGGTGATTAGGACGGGCAGCGAGGATCGCGTGCAGGTGCGCACCGTTTCTTTCACTGGTCCACTGTTCAACCCTTCTCGGCCGCTTTCACTGACTAAACTATTGGCGCATCCCCAACTCGACAGAACATGCACCGATTCGCTCTCGAAGGGCTGACGCTCCTTGCAGAGGTGCTGGAGAGCGATTTGAAAGATGCACAGGGCGGAGTGAGGTCGAAGTTGTAATGGTAGCGTAGACCCAGCCACTGGAGTTTGGACCATGGATCGTCGGGCCGAACCCACCCTCTTATCATGTGATTCGCATCGAGGTCAGCCGAGGAGCTTTGTGTGTTATTCAAATCAAGGATCGACAAACATAATCGACAAACATAATCTCGAATTCATCTCCTGACTGCTTCTTCACGTATCGCTTCGATCCCATCATCGCGTCTTTTGCTGTTTCACGCACGCTCACGTCACGCTCACACGAACAAATCTTGACGGTTGATTCAGAAGCTCGCTTGCTCTCTAACGAACGCGAAGTTCACCCAATCACACGCAGCCCATCCATCGACTCGTTAACTCGACAGTCAAGAAATCACAACGTTTGAGTGTTACCAGTGCGCAGCCGAGATCAAGCAGACATTTGAAGCGAATTGAAAGTGGGTGATCTTTTGGCCGAAGTTGACCTCTTGCGAGTATGGGGGTCCTCGCGTGGCTCATCGCAAGCGCTGCGCGCGCGGGCGCCCGCAGACCGCCTTAGCCGCCTTCGCGGCGTGATGCAGTCACAGTCGAGTAAAGCGGTCATCAATTTTGCATGCCCGCGTGGCCGATGCAGCCTCGATGCGCTGCAACTCTGGCTCCTACCACCACGACCACGACACCAAGATCGCTGTCTGTTCGTGCAGAGAGCTTGCATCACAGGTGACAAGCCCTTAACAGCCGTCGAGGGCGCTTGTCGCCCCAGCTCGCGTCAGAGCTCGTCTACTTCCCTCACGCCTCCCCTCACCTCGCGCGGACTCTCCCACTTCAAAGATGGACTCGTTGCTCTCTGATCTGTCCAAGCTCTCAGCACGAGCACCGAGCCTGTACAACAGCACTGTGCCCTCATCCTTCGCTTCCAACTTGGACGCATTCATCACTCAGCTCGAGACGGAGCGAGCGTCATCCAGTCCCAACCTGCCCCTCCTCGCGGACGCCTTTGCCTCGTTGCAATCCAGCAGCTCTACGCGCGTAAAGGAGTACTACAATGCTCTGGCTCGGCTGGGCAAAGCGCTGGACAAGAAGTTCCCGTCCAGCTTGAGTGGCATCGCCGATCCCAACCTCTTCTCCTCGCCCTCGTCAAAGTATGCGCTCGACTCGACTGTCGCTCTGCATCTCATGCGAGCTGGGGAGTGGGAGGTTGCCGAGACGTTACAAAAGGTGAGTCGGACGATGCGCGCCGTCGTTCCGTTTCTATCATCCTATCTATTGCTTCCCACCACCACATGGATGGTCTTAAGAGCCATGGACGGGCCTCGAAGGGAAGCGATTCCCGGTCCACTTTTACATGTCCAGCGTTTGAGTCATAGCCGTCCTACATCGCGTCGAGGGAGCATGTGTGCCCTCGAGATCTTTCTGAAGCGCTTCGCGAGGGCGATCGATCGTGTCGAACAGCTGCTGTATAGCGCTGGTCGAGGCTGTCGCTTTTTGCAGCGCTTCTACACAGGAGAGATCGCACCGTCTTGCTTGCTCTCGTTGCAGACAGCACCTCTTGCCTTGGCCGCTGCGCACCCTCATGGGGTCCGGGCTGCAGGCTGTGCACAAAATTTTCTGCCATGACATAGCAAGTGTGCTACATGTGTACACGAAGCCATAGCTTGCCAAATTTTCTCATTTCAGCTGACGCCGTGAGTCAAATTTTGACAGGAAGCAGGCATTCCGCACCCCTCACCACACGTCAATTTTAAGGAGCTCACGATGGTCTTGGAAGCATTGCACGCTGAGCAGCCTGGACTTGCCATCGAATGGGCAACCACGAACAGCAAATGGCTGGCTGCCAGAGGTTCTCCGCTGGAATTTGTATTGCACCGAAGCGTGTTTCTGCGTTTGGCTACTGGTCGTCTCGAGCATCCTGATGAGACATCCGGGCGAAGCAGAGCCTTGCACAGGAATGGTAACAGCAGGCTTCACATCGATGGCACCGAGGGGGACGCAACGATGGAGCACTGGACAGATGCACCGGAAGAAGGTGGCGGTGCGTCCGAGGACGGGCACAGCAACGAAGCCCACTCAACTTATCACGATGCTCATCCCACGATGAGCATGAGCGGCGTCATCAACCAGCATGGATCTGGAGATGGTCGTGCTGAACCCAATCCAATGCTTTCCCAACTGAGCGCAATGAAGTATGGAAATACGGTATTCCCCAAATTCATGCACACCCATTTGGTCGAGGTTGAGAAGCTGTACACCTTCCTCATCTTCCTCCAGCCTCACGCCAGCGACCTTTCGGACCAAGTCTTGTTTACGAGCATGCCGCTGCAGTACCGCCATTTCTTGGACAACAATACCATGCATGGACCACTACTCGCGCCGCTCTTTGAAGCAGAGTGGTGCGCCAGGAAAGGCGTGGCGAAGGAAGCGCCCCTCAAGCTAGCTGTCGAAGTCGGTGCGGGCGGCGCGCTGAATCGCATCGCCAAAGTCAGGGCTGTGATGAAGCAAAGCGGCAACGAGTGGAGCCAAGCCGACGAGCTGCCGGTGAGTACGCTGATCATGCAGGGTACAGCGTGCCTTTGGTCTTCTCGTGTCTTTGGTCTGATCGAGTGCGCTCGACTGTCGCTTTGCACAGGTCGAGATTCCTTTGCCGCCCCATCTTCGTTTTCACTCAACGTTTGCCTGCCCAGTCTCCAAGGAGCAAGGAACGGATGAGAACCCGCCGATGATGATGACTTGCGGACACGTCGTCTGCTTGGAGTCTCTGAGCAAGATCGGCAAGGGCAGCGGACGAGTCAAGTGCCCTTACTGTCCTACCGAGAGCAGAATTGGCGAAGCTCATCGCGTCTACTTTTGAGATCGCCTGCCACGCAACACCAATTATTCCAAACGTGCTTGGTCGAGCCACAGTCCCGTTCCCATCTTGCGACCACCACCGCTTCCTGCCAGCCCAACATCTTCGCCTACAGCGCCTCGTCGTCTATCGTTCTGCGTCCGAGTCCCGTCTAGACTCGCCTATGTTCTAATCAACACGTGTACTTGTCGCACTGCTACATCTCAGCTCATCGTCTCGCTCCCGGCCCCACTGCCGCACACGTGTTCCTTATCCACTCATGCTCTCCATTCCACTCCGCGGCCCACTCCATTGTAATTGTACGGTACTCTTGTAATTCCGCAGACACATTCGTGGCGTGGCAAATGTCTATGATATGCTCTGTGCATCAATTGCCGTTCTTCGTAGGCATGTCCGGTCTCTGCCGATTGAGGAGTCGATGCAGTGGACGTGCCATACCTACTCATCAGACTGTAGATACGCATGCACGCACGCGTCTGCACCGGCCCTGTAGCAGTGCCCGCGCGAACATGCGTCTTGTTTGCTTTCTCACCTCCACCTCCATCAGATCCAACTTTTTGGGACGCGCGGATGGTGTGTCAGTAGCACCAAGAGATCAGAAGGCCCTGACAAGTGCTGGCAAGAGCATCACCCGACTTTGTTGATCCACTCACGACTGGCTGCCACGTCAGCAGGCACCATACAAGGCGCACACCTCGGCTGTAATCAGGAGGCAGCAAGCAGAAATTGTTTGGGACAGCTGGGACAGCACAGGATAAGGCGACGGACGCGCTTTAAGCGAGAGCACAAGCCGCCGTTCTGGAGATCCATCGGGCATCACCATGAATTACGCACGGATCTTGTCGCTCGCTCTCCTCTTCATTTGCCTCATCAGCTCCTTGGCATTGGCGAGGTTCGTGTACATCCTGCCATCCCGTGTCAGAGCGCGAGGGCCACCCACATCGGATCGCAGACCGAATCATCGGAGATGCAGCGTGGCCATCTTCCTCGGCAGCGGTGAGTTGCAGGCTGTGTCAAAACAAGCGAAGGGGAGCCTGGTCAGTCAGTGATAGGTGCCAGTGGAGGCAGAGCCAGTATCGCTGTGCATTTTCAAGTCCCACCTTTCAGCTGACTCGAGCAAGTCTCGACCATCTGCTCTCGATGAATGCAGGCGGACATACAGCCGAGATGCTGAAATTGGTCAGCGCGCTCTCGCCAGCTCGTTATGGACCTCGAGTGTACCTCATTTCCGGAACAGATGCATTCAGTCGCTCAAAGGTCCAAAGCTTCGAGGCGAGCATGAGCGCGGCCCGTAGCGCTGCGGCGGCTGCCTCTGGCGCTGAAGGGGATGACGGCGAAGCCAGCGACTATGCGGTGAAAGTGCTTCCACGCGCCAGAGCGGTCAAGCAAAGCTTTCTCACCTCGCCCATCACGACGATCATCTCCTTTGCAGCTTGCTTTCAGCTCATCGTTTTGCCTGTCATCAAGGCTCGGCTAGGCATGGCGACGAGTGCAGGCGCTCAGGGCGACGCACCGCTTTCCGCCGACACTGCGGCAATGTTCAAAACACACGCTTTCGACGTAGTGCTCATGAACGGCCCAGGAACTTGCGTACCGCTGGTAGCTGCAGTGTACGTCTTGCGCGTGAGTCTTCATGCTGCATCGCTCCCTTTTGTGGTGCGCAAAAGAATGCTAACACGCTCAACGGTCCCTCTTGACAGTTTGTCGGTATGCCGTCTCCCAAGCTCTTATACGTGGAGTCCTTTGCTCGCGTAAAGTCTTTGAGCCTGACGGCGAGGATCTTGAGGCCCTTTGTAGATCGCTTCGTTGTGCAGTGGCCAGAGGCGGCAGGCAAAGCGGGTCACAGCGACGGCGCGGTCTGCACAGGCTGGTTGGTGTAAAGACAGACGCCTCTTCACGAGGTCTTCATCCGGTTTGTTCAAGGTGCAATCGCATTTCTCTCATCGCAAGATCGAGTGATTCTTCTCATTAGCTAGACTATCTGGCACAACGAAAGCTTGTAGACGAGCGGGACAAGGGTGACCAAGCAAGAGCAGCACGAGCGCATTTTTCGTGAGAAAGAGTGTGCAGATGGCAACGGAGGAGGCGTCCAAGGAAACGAAGAGAAGAAGATGGTGCATGCTCATTGGAGAGAGCGATCAAGCTTTTAGCGAGAAGATTATGGACGAGATTACCACTTTGCTAAGAGAACTGGAGGCGGAGTACACTACAGTATAGGCGCGGAGAAGGTGTCTTTAGCTGGAGTACGAAGAGCACACGAAAATGCAGAGATGGTCAAGCCGCAGGGTTGCTCGGTACGTCGCTCAGAGGCGAATCTTGAGTGTGCTGCATGGACGTGGGCTGGGAGCCATAAGTGGAGGAACTGGACATGGCGCTGACGCCCATTCCTATGCTCAGTGTAGAGCCTGATTCAGAGCCACGTTGTTGGGCAGCATCGCTGATGGAAGGCAGGGGAGCCATTCGACCGTGGGGAGGAGCCGACATCGTCCCATGCTCGAGCACCTTAACATACGAGCTTGGAGGCTGTGTCGGCTG